CTCGGCAGCTGTGGCCAGACACTCGGCCGGGTCACTCTCCGTGTTGCAAGAGTTCAACAGAGTTTTCTGAGTGTTTGTATTTCCTCTGAGCGCATGTACTCACCAGAGAGAAGAGAGACAGAGACAGCGAGAGGGAAAGCTGGGACCAGCAGTTGGCGTAATGTTACACTGCTGGACTCCCATGTAGTCGACCGCAGTTTGCGTCCCTGACCTGGGGGCTTAAACTCAACGCCAGGCACCTGTGTGTGTGTGTGTGTGTGTGACCAAGGTCCCGAGAGGAGACTGGAGAAGGGATTGTGGTGTGGCCATCCCCCCGGGGGCGATTTCTCACTTTCTGTCTCTGTCTCTCCAGTGAGCGCACGTGCCCTATAGCAAAACTCTCTCTTAAAAAAAAAAAAAATTCTTTAAACTCGGGCCTGTCCTGTGGCCTAGTGGTTAGAGAGCTGCATCGCACATGGCTGACCACGTGGTTTGAACTCAGGTCCACGCAGCTTAAGACACACTGTCCTGTACGTGTGTGCCCCAAATCCCAACAGGGTAGAGGAATGGAGACAGGACAGCTGCAGGCCCGTGCCCACTGGGGAGGGGTGCTTTCTCTCGCCCCCTCTGGGGAATGTGTGCACCCCTGACTTATAAACAATATGTTTTTTAACCCAGTTTTGCCATTGTTGGACTAATATGCACATCAGGATTGTTAAGCTATGTCATTGTCTCCATAGTTAAAATGCCAACCTTGGGGCCAGCCAGTGGCATGGTGGTTAAGGCAGGGGGATCCCATCTGGTCAGCTGCCCTGCTGAGGTCCCAGATCCAGGGGCTAGAAAACCATGCTGGGCACGTGTGTATGCGTCCCCAAATCCTGAGAATGGAGACCAGACGCAGTGTGCCCGTGCCTCACGGGTGCTCTCTCTCTCCTCTTTCCCCTTCTTCCCAGTAAGCTCTCACACCCTTAGTAACTTTTAAAAATTGCCAACCTTCGTGGGGCAGCAGGTGGTGTGGTGGTTAAGTGCTCTGGACTCCCATATGGCCAATCATGGTTCAAGTTCTGGACCTGGCAGCTTGCTTTCTCGCTCTCTTTCTTTCTTTCTTTTTTTTTGTTTTGGAGAGGCTTTTGCTATAGGGCCCATGAGCTCACCAGACAGACAGAGAGAGTCAGAGAGACAGAGAGAGAAAGCAAGAAATCACCCCCCGGGGGGATGGCCACGCTACAATCCCTTCTCCTCCATTCTCCTCTCGGGATCTTGGGCACGCACGCACACGCGCCGGGCGTGAGTTTAAGCCACCGGGTCCAGGACTTGAACTGTGGTCGGCTATGTGGGAGTCCAGTGACATAGCTAGTATACCAACTGCTGATCGATCTCTGTCTCTCTGTCTCTCTCTAGACAGATTAAAAAACCAAGCTTGAACCCGTCACTGAGCTTACGCGAGCAGGGCCAGGAGCAGCGTGGGGTGGAGTGACACGCTCCCCCAGGTACGAGGCACACGCTGACGCCTCTCCTCTCTGAGACGCTCCGGTCTGGGCCGGAGTTCCTGGGAGCCATGTGCTGCCCTGCACCCACAAAGGGCGTTCTTTAGCCGAGAGTGTCTGCTGTGTGGACCACCGGGCCGGCAAGGACACTCCGGAGTCACAGTGGATTTATTCCAGGGGGTCGGAGCCCAGGGTGGCACGCCTGGGGACGTCTCCCGTTTTCTTAGCGCACGCACGGCAGGAGCCCGCAGCCCCAGAGGAGGAAAGGCACTGGAGCTGTCGGTGGTTTTGAACCGTACGCTGTATTTCACAGGCTCCTTAGCTCTCCATAGAAACCAACTTCAAGCTTGCCTAGCTCTAAGTCAAACGCTCACTTTAACAAGGGAAAGCAAAGGGACCCGCGGGAGGCGAGACCCGCAGAGCTGCCCTGAAGACAGTCACGCGGGGCTGTGACACCAGTAGGCCAGACGGGGAAGTGGCAGCCTCAGACGCCGGCCGTGCTGTCTCCACGCGAGACACACAGCAGAGAACGCGGGGTCTCACAGGTATGGGCACCCACTCTCACACCTGAGCTGGGGTACGGCAGAACGAGTCCACACAGCAGGACCGCCCTGAGCCCCACGGCGTTAGACACGGAGCGCACGCGGGGAGGGCGGGCGGCAGCTGCTGTCCTCACGGGGACACGGCACCCACGACAGGCGGCAGCACGGGGCCGCTGGTTCAGGGGGGTGAAGGCAGCGCCTTGGCCCCGCTCACCCCTCCAAGCCCCTTTCCTTCTCCCGCCGGCTTAGGCCCAGCCAGGGGGGGCGACTGAGAGACGGGCGTCAACCACACTGGTGCCGGGCACGCCCCCCGGAGATCCGCGGGCTGGACAGGAGGGGCCTTGGGGGGAAGCAGTGCCCCAAAGGGCTGAGCTGGGTGAGGCGGAAGGTCTGCTGGAGTCCAGAGGGGCCATCAGCTTCCGTGCTGCAGAGGCCGTGTGGGACTCCTGGGGGCACACCCGGGGCGTCACCGTGGACCAAACGAGGGGACAGAAAGGCTTCCCGATACAGCAGGGACTGCCCTTCCCCACCCACCCCTCCAGTTCGGTGTGTGCGCCCACGGGCAGGTCTGGGCCAGAGGTCGCAAACACAGCTCTGAAGGCGGGGCGGCCTCAGTGAGCCCTCCGCTTCTGCGGGAAGAAGGTGTACTTGGTGGGGTCGAACTCCTCCCAGATGCGCTCGAACTCCTCCAGGAAGAGCCGCACGTACTCGCCGTCCTCCATGACCAGCACGTTCTCGCGGTTGTTCTGGATGGCCTGCGTGGTCCAGTTGAGCGAGCCGGTGATCAGCACCCTCTTGTCCACGATGGCGAACTTGTGGTGCATGTAGCCCAGGTCCTGGTCGTGCCGCACCTGGATGCCTGCGCGAGAGGCAGACGCTCAGCCCAGCTCCGGGGCCCTCCAAGGGCTGAGGCCCACTGCACCCGGGGCCGTGCGGGTCCACCCGCTTCCACCGAGGGCAGCTGGACCGGCGGTGGGGGCACCAGCTCCCAGGAGGCCGTGGAGAGCGGCTGCGGCTGTCGTCCTCTGGGGCTTGCTCTAGGGACCAGCCCACCCCCGCAGCAGCCGAGGGTTAGGCGAGGGTCAGCCCTGGAGCCTAAACCCAGCAGACGCTCCCTGGGGGCTCCTGCCCCAGGGCAGGTCCAGGCGGACATCCGGGCTCCTCCTCTCCCGCATCCCCCAGGCTCCCACCCCAGGAGGACCCTGCTGGCAGCGGCAGCTCGAGAGCCTGACTCGCCCCCCCTCAGGCCCAGAACAGTCAGCCCCTCGTCACCTGCGCACCCACAGGACGCTCTGCGATCTGACTTGGGAGATGACTGAAAACCGGCTGCCTGGAGTAGCGGCACTGGATTTAGCGATGAACAGATGTCCAGAGTAAACGGGGTTTCAGATCGGTGAAGAGTGACCCGTGACGGCCAGGCCACCCCACGCAGTGTTCAGGTCTTACCCTAAAAATGACTTGCTGCACCTCTGACATTCCTTTTTTTTTTTTTTTTTTTTAAGACTTTTACCATAGGGCACATGTGCTCACCAGAGACAGAGACAGGGCGGGGAAGAGAGAAATCACTCCCTCCTCCTCCATTCTCCTCTCAGGATTCTGGGTGCACACGCAGCGCACACACACCGGGCATGATTTTCAAGCCGCCAGGTCTGGGACTCGAACCGCAGTCAGCCATGTGGGATCCAGCCCTTAAGCTCCAGGCCACCTGCCGGCCCGCCACATTCCCTTTCACCTGCCTGTTTTTCAAAGCCGCCAGGTCTGGGCCTCGAACCGCAGTCAGCCATGTGGGATCCAGCCCTTAAGCTCCAGGCCACCTGCCGGCCCGCCACATTCCCTTTCACCTGCACACCCTGAATGTGAGCTGGCCCCCTCCCTCCACCAGCAGCCACGTCCTCACAGGGACATTTCTCCCCACACACCGCCCGAGAGTGAGCCACCCCACAAGCCATCCCCTCCAGCTTCGAAGTGGGTCCACGTCCAACCATCCCTGGCCAGCTCCCACCCACTGGCCAATTCCCGCCCTGTCTGCTCCCGCGGGGCACCAGCCACCCCCCTCCCTCACAGCGGAGACCTGGCCTCAGGGAGGAGGCCGAAGCTACCCAGCCCCGCACGTGCAGCGGCTCTGTGCCTTCAGCCAGGAGCACTCCTGCTGTGCTGGGCAGCCAAGTCAGCTGGCAGCTCGGGGCACCCACTGTGCCCTCCACCTGTGCCTCCCTCCGGGGCCAGCCGCCTGCTCCCTGCCTCCTCCTCCCGCTGTATCAGGGCTCCCAACCCCTCTCCTGCCTCGGACATGCAGGGTCTGGCCGCTCGCTGGGAAGAGGCCTGTCCGTAGGCAAATCCGGCCCCTGGGCCTCTGGGAGGCGCCTGGAGCTCAGCCAACGTGCTGCCGCTGGGGAGGGCTCAGGCCAGCCAGTCCCGGCCGACACCTGAGAGGTTGGACTGGCCACAAGCAGAGTCCACGGTTCCCACAGGATGACCCATGGAGGGCCACGAGCCTCAGGGCTGCCAGAGCCAGCCTCCCCACACTGGGCACTCCCGGCTCTAGAAGGCGATCCCACTCTCTCCCGGGGCAGCGCGAGGCCTTGGCCACCACTCATGGCTTCAGGGCCCGTCTTCTGGTCACTGTGGCCACCAGAATGACCAGACCACACGGATGTGCATGCCAAAGTGAGGGGACTGAGCAGGTAAGGAGAAGGCCGGATTGGCCACTTCTGTCCCCTCTGTCCCCACCCGCAGAGGGGCAGGTGGCCAGCCCTG